TCCCCACCCCAGGCCGCTGGCTGTCCCCAGTTCCCTCTGGGCCCACTGGCCATCCCTGCTCTGCTCCAGGCCGCTGGCTAGCTCCAGATTGTTGGGCATGCGCACATACTGCCAGTGCTGTCTCATGGTACCCGCAAGTGGCTATTAGCTAACTAACATTGTCAAGGGCCTATTGAGGCCTATTGTTGGGGGCTGAGGGGAATAGTTCATCTGCCCAGAGGTGGTATCCCAGCAACAGGTCAGAGATTTGAGGCTTAAAGGGCCACTTGACTGTCCATGGATGCAGATAAAGCATGAGCTCTTGTTTTTTTATTTAATGCTTCTATTTACAAACCCAAGGAACAACATCTGTTTTATTCTGCAACACTATCAATGTCTGGGAAGAATGTTAGCCAAAATTTTTGTTCTAGTCCTACATTCAACCACCTTTGGCGAGATTAGCCAACTTGGCATTGATGCTTCAAGGCTTGGTCAACATATGTTATATTAAAAAAATCATGTTGGTATCACTGAATTATACAGTGCTTTTAACCGATTTTGCATCCATTAATGATATCATTTTAGTCATGCAGATCTTGATATGGAATGTGTTTTACTGAGGACTGTTGTCATTTTAATCATTGTGCTGTAGAATAGTTAACATTTCTTACTGTTCAGTGGCTTTTCTGTTTGTTTTTATATCCATTTTTTGAACAGAAAATACAAAACATTTAGAGTTGGCACTCTCACATTGCGCAGAGGAATTTGTAGATTGCATTTTCAGTCTTTATAGGATTTTTCTGTCTCTGTCTCTCTAACTCTCCCTTGAAAGTTAATTCTGAGAATGTACAAATACTGTTATTCCTTGACAACAAAAGACAAAAATGCTGGATGTACTCAGCAGCTCAGGCAGCATCACTGGAGAGAGAAAAACAACCTTAACGTTCATGTCAGGTCGACTGGCTTTTCATCAGAACTGCAAAGGAAAGACTTGCATTTATATAGCACCTTTCATGACCTAATGGTGTTCCGAAGCCTGTTACAGCTCATAAAGTGCTCTTAGAGTGTACTCAGTCTTTTAATGGGGTGACCACTTCGTACACAAGACATTTCCACAAACACAAATGTAGTTGAAGGACTACATCCCTTTTTTAGGGATGTGGGCATTGCTGGCTGGACAACCATTTATTGTCCACATCCCTAATTGCTAAAAATTATTTGAGGGATTGTGTCTCAAAAAAAAACTTGTCAGCAAATTTTATCGTCAGAAAATGGCTAGGAGTTGGGAGAGAAAGTTGTTCGGTTGTCAATTATTGTCTAATCATTTAATAAAGAGTCTGCTTTCTTCCCTAATTGGCTGAAAGAGTGTAAAATGTCATTGAAGATGCAATGTGTCAGAAGACCAGTAACAAGAGGGTTATGTAGGAGGTGGTGTTGGATCTTAGAATTACACCTTCCAGAAACCCATCCAAACAAGCAGTCGCAGAAACCTACAGGTCTACTTCATCTAATTTTTAAAAAGAAATGAGTTACAATGAATGTAGTGCAGAAGATGAGAAAAATCAGAGATTCACAAAGGGAATTATTATAATGTATGATTGAGTTAGGTCAAACAGGAGTCCGCTTCAGCAGGACAGAATGTAAATTACTTTAAATATTCGCTGTTTTCTCCTTCTGGTGGTGGTGTATTGCAATTCAGTCGGGAGTGGGGTTCTGAGTTGCTCTGGCAAAATGCACATTCACACACAGGTAGTACTCTGGGAGCTAGAGATGGCGGTGTTTGAAGCTCCAGTGTTTTGACATCGCATGGCAGACTCGGAATCTCTTCCACTCTGACTGCCTCCTATTGGGAAGTGTGTTCGATGAATTCACAAGTTCATTCTTAAACTGTTCAACCAGATCATGGAACACACCTCCCTTGACCATCACCTCCTGGGGTCAGCTTTGAACTGAGAGCCTCTGGCTCAGATGCATGGACATCACCCATTGCATCACAAGACCTCCTAATGTTGCTCGTCATTTTCAGACATTAACCCCTCAAGGGGTTAATCAGCTCCATAATTGCAAACATTTTCCCTCCACCCTGATGAATTGGTTTTATTGGGACCACATTCCCTGGGTTGCTGTTAGACGACAAGCGCTGTATTTGAAGGAACTGAATCTGGAGGGTTACTGCCTGATTTGAGAAGAGGACAAACTTTTTGTCTCCTCCAGTT